GCGCGAACTTGACATGATTACCCTTAGAAATCATGCGCCGCAGTCATACATGACATGATTACCCGTGACCTTGAGTGTCCTTGACATGATGATTGTATTATCTGCAGTTATGACGTCACAAGCGCTGATTTCGAAAATTCATTGTACGCTTTCGGCCAATCAGAAAAGAGATAGCGAGTTCAATGTACAATAATTACTAATAGTCCTCTAGTAGCGTAGCCAATTAAAATGCAGGATATGTATTAGTCCACTAGTTGGGTGATACTAATTGGGGCCAGTTAGCTAACTGGGGACACCTAACTAAAGTCAATAACTAATAACTAGTTTACAAAGAAAATTAATTAATAAATGTTGAAGTTGATAAATACTTATTTACGGCATAATAATAATTACTATAAAATAATATAAAATGATTCAGTTCACGATTTACATGACAAGACTCAATGAGGTCGCTCCCCGGGGTCGCTTCTGGGAAACCATGAAGAAACTCCAAAGTCCGCTGTGAAAAAAATAATGTAAATGAACATAAAATGGTTGGCAATCTCTGGCAGGAGGCAGACCAGTTGGCTTTTACAAGCGTGGACCACAAGAGCTGAAGACGGTGCTACCGAAAAACAACACCAGCAGGTAGTCAGAGCGGGACTTGAACCCGCGATCTCGGGATGTTGCCTTCAGTTTGATAATTGATTTATTCGGTAGATAGCCTCTGAACACACTGTGATTTGCGTTGGGTTTGGTAGCCAGTGCGACACGCTGAAACCTCCTAGGCTGGAAACGCTATTCCCCTCCTCTATCAAGTTATTCGTTGGGCAGCTACATAACGCAATTTTTATTGCAATTTTGTTTTTGTTTTTGCGAAAGTTTCGTTGGATACACCCTGCGAGCAGAGCCTCTTTCATCTCTTTTTTGATGCACTGTAAGAAAAGGCTCTGCTTGCAGGCTGGGTAGTGTGCGGGGAAGGCGTATCCAACGCGGCAAGGGTGAAACGGAGACAAGATTTTCGACCCCAGTTTCCCTCGTTGCGCATTATTTTGATGGCGGCCATGATGCCTGTTCCAGGTTTGTAGTTCGTGTGATGTTTTGTTCTGATTATGTCTTCGAAAACAACCTAATGCAGCAACATATTTGAACGAATGGTTTAATCTTATCTTTCGTGATATTACTGATTCTGTTTTAATTTTCACACAGACATTTTCTTTGCTTTTCTTGCTACTGAAACAACCTAGTAGCATCGAGACGATGCTTGAATTATAACGAGAATTTTAATTTTTTTTATAGGTTTGAAATAGGAAATAGTCATTTGAAAGTATTTACGCTTAGCGTTGTATTCTAGAGTTAAAAGCTATATGTGAAAAAAATGACCAATGCGACATTATGCCAAGAAAGGTAGAGGGCTACAGGATAAAAGCTTGCATATGTGCATGTACAGAGTTCATGAAGTGAGCTTACTCACTTTATCCCACAGATCATTGGCAGAAACATCACATTGTGATGATATATACACATATCCAAACCAGATACCATAATGATCCGCTGTTCCTCAAGGGAGGGCGCCTATTCAGCACCTATTCGGGACAGAGCACTTATTTCTTTTTTGAGAAACAGCCAAATGTTCAAAACAAAGTTTTAATACAGTATTTATTTAAAAAGGAACAGTAATAGAAACTGTGACAGTAAAAAAACGTGGTGAATGTTAGTTGACATGAGGGAATTTTAATCTATTTCAATGCCAATAGCTTTGACAGTTTCACTTATGGTACATCGATATGTAAATATAAACTTTCTGATGCATCGTCTTCGACGTGGGATTGGGTGATCCCTTCGAAAGGATCCTTGTCGTGTGAATTGCTCATGGCTTGTTGACCAACCTTGAGCTGTTTTAGCCCTGTATGGCAAGGCTGATTTTCCTTGAAGCAATGAATAATATTAGAATAGGGGCACTTATTAGAATGGGAGCGTTTATTGGAATAGGGGCGCTTATTAATAAAAACACATTTGAAGGGGGGCACTTATTCAAATGGGGGTGCTTATTGCAAGAAGGGCACTAAATCAAATCATTACAGTATTTGGCAGTCTGAAGTTATCACAGAATTTCCTCAAAACATCTCATTTTAATTTTTCTGAGAAAAACTTATCTTTGTGTTGAGATCAGGTCTGTCATCACGTTTTGATTCATCTGTGGCCTTGATTTTCAAAGCCATACTGCATAGCAAACTTGTTACTTTGTGGGTGAATTGTATCAGCTACAGGCAAGTTCACTTGCAACATCAATGGCCATCAAGCATGCTCAGCTGTAAGAGGTACTATGGGTTATAGCCCTTATTGACAGCCCTGGAGATGTCAAGGAATTCCAAACATTATTTTTGCTTTGTATTTGAGGAATTTTTCGAACTTAGGCATGCCATAAAATCTGAATGTTTTTGACACATTTGTTTGCCATGAACACAAAGAAAACTCGAGATCAAGTGGTCCTGGTTCGAGCCCTAGGTGGGGTCACTGCATGGTGTTCTTAGGCAAGACATATACCCAGGTGTATAAATGGGTACCAGTGAATTCAATGATGAGGGTGACCCTGTGATGGATAGTGGCTTAGTACTACAGAAACTTGAGAAAGCTCTGGTTTTATAGGCCATTTGCTTGATGCAGATGTTATATATACCCTTAAAACATAACTGTATGGATGATCTGTTCTCTTTGTTTTTTGTATTTTTGTCAGAAACTAACAGCCACTGTACAGATAGCCCTAACTACAGAGACAAATACAAGACTTTAAAGAGGAAACTGAAGTTTCTGCTTTATGTAAGTAGAACTCCATCTTTTTAACACCTCCACACTACTTTTTCATATTTACGACATCAATTCTATTATCTTTAATCTTTATCCTGGTGCCTTGTTAACATGACCAGTGCCCCTTCATCTCTCTAAGTGTATGCCAGTAATACAATCAATTGAAATGCTTGTTATCAAGATGTATTACAATAACATTATAGACATAGTGTTTTACTGGAAAATACACCAGTTGTAGAATTTATACCAACTTTATTCAGGACCCAAGCGGTGTATTTTCCATATAATTTGATGATGACATTTTTTTTCTTTTGCTTTTTCACAGTCACTGTGTTTGTTGTCAGTTATTTTTACAAACAGTCAGTTCGTGTATATATAATAATAAAATATTCAATTGGTTTATTGTTAGTATTTTTCATTGCATGACTGATTACAACAGGAACAAGAATATTTTCAAGAGGAACTCAGAAGAGTGCAGAAGAAACTTCTTCGGGTTTCCCGCGACAAAAGGTGCAATCTACATGTAGTTACTGCTGATTTTATAGCATTTAATATCAGAAATGGAAATTTGTATTTAATGCTAGACTTGTCTATGCTGCTAGTATTAATTGCTGTGCTTGTTTTAACCCAAGGCTGAGGTCATGACTACCCATGACCTGTAATCAGGTATCTTTTTTGGTGACATCTTTTTTTTTTTAATAAAGGGAGAGAGGGTATGACTGCAGGTAAGCCGAGGGTACACATGAAGCTTTTTACTGAATGTCAGTAGCTACAACTTTTTCAAAATATGTTTATTACAGAACATGGTGAAAATTAGGTTTTCTATTTATTTCACACGTGATGCAACCTTAAAGAATTAGGACATTTGTTTATTATTATGAAGTGATTTTACAAATAGTGCATGACTTGTGTAATGGAGGCATCACATGTCTTTACCATTGTATTCATGGACCAACTTTTGTGGCAACTTGTGACTGTCAAAACCTCACTCAATGTACCTGTGGTTTAAGCATCATTTAGTCTGTAAACAACAAAAATATAAGGGCTAACTCCTAAGTGACTTTCGACTTGACTCATACAGTGTATTAATATATTTTTTCACGGAGCGTGTCCAAGATTTAATTGATAAATTGGCTCTCCTACTACTTCGGAGAGTTGATTGCAATATGCATGTAAAAACTACAGACCTGTGTAACTGTCACATCTTAACGGCGGTGGAGAGGAGTACTTCGCTGTTATT